TCTAAAACAGTTTGAGCCAAAATTTAGGGATTTAATATTATGAAGGGTAAATTAATAAATAAAAAGTATTTCAACATAAATTTTAATTAAAAAGCATCTTTTTAGAATATTTTAAACAGGGTTAACAATTTAAACTTAAATATATGTTTTCCAAATAGAGAGAAGGTCCATATAATTATGAGAAAATGCAAAAAAAGTTAGAGTGTTTTACTCTAAAATAATACTTCCTCTGGTCCTAAAATTAAGTAACAAATTTTTAAAAATTGAGAAAATTAGTTCAATTAATTATTTATAAAAATATATGCTGCTTTTTATAAAATATTTTTTTAATTATTTGCATCATAACTACTCTTAGTGGAAATCATAGGAATAAGCTGGTGAAAAATTAGAAAATTGAAATATAAAATAAATTAAGATATTATATTTATAATCAAACTAAATCTAATTATTTCTACTCAGGGCAGATGAGGAAAATTCAATGTCTTTTTTAACATTGTAATCATTACTGATGACTAAATAGCATTTTGTATCTTTATAAAAGTTAATTTTTGACTATAAAATCATTTTTTGTTCAATTATTTTTACATTTCATTCCATCCCATTTTATGTGTCAAGCGAGTCATAGCTTTCAATATTTTCCTAATTGACGTTTTAAAATTTTGTAGTGATAAAATTTTATTTTCCTCCACCTTAACGGAACCCAACTCGCAAATTACTTCCTCGCTCTAGGCCTCTAGCAGAGCGATTTCTTCCCCATTCCATTGATCATCATCATGGATTTCAACTTAAGACCCTACACATAATTTGACCCTCATCTGCCTGAGTTTCATGGGCTATAGGCCCATTGAGTAATGGATCCTGGATCTAAAGTTTTACTTCCTTTTGGGCCAACCCACTATGTTTTTCTTGATAATTGGGCTTTCCTTCAGTTGTCTGATCCAAATGAATTTTCTCATATTTTGAAGGGAAGCATGTGAGACGCCCCATGGTTTTCCACTAATGGTGAGTCGTAAATAATATAATTCACAAAAAAAAAAGCTAACCATATAATAATAATCCAATTTGGATATATGTCAAGAAAGACAGAACTTCATTTACCGGGGGGGTCAAAACAATGAGTGGGCTGAATCATTCTGGGCTTTCTGTGGGTTCGAGGAAAAGGGAGAATTTTTCATGTAACTAGGCCCCACTGAGATTGGGTTAAAGGATGAACGGCCCAGATTCCAAAAGTTTGGCAGAGAAACGGTTAAGTCTCTCGAGTAAATTACAGTTAGGTTCTCGACAAATTTTTTTTCTTTTTAATGAGTTGCAAATCAACAGCAGATTAAGAGTCTCTGTTGCAAATGAGATATTTAAAAGTTTCAAATGTAACTCTCCAATTATAAATACAACCACGTGAGTATAAATTAGGTTCATTAATCTGTGTATTAAATAAAAACCGGAACAATAGATGAATAGAGGCTGAGGAGTATATAGAAGAAGCGGAGAGCAAGCAGCAAAGAGGAATTTATATCTGATTTGTAAGTCCCAAGAGCTGTCTTCTCACTAAGGAGATGAAGAGGCTGTGATTGGAAGGTAAAATTAGAAAAGTCATAAGGAAATAAAATAATTTAATATTGATGATATTTATGAAGACAGGGGACACGTGGATATGGTTGGAAATAATATCTCAGTTGGGAAGGGGAAAAAAAAAATCAGGAAGGCTACTTAAAAATGCAGAGTCACATTCAATCAATCAATCAATCAGCTTATATTCTTTAAATCTTGAATTTTCATGGGAGTGTGGCAAACTGTGTTTATTGGAATTTCCCGGGTTGGTGTTTCCATTTTCAATATCCTTTTCTTCTTGCTTTTGGAATGACAGTGACAAGTCTTATTTTATCAGATAAGATCAGTTATATGAATCATACACATCATTATGTTCTATTAACAATATAAAAAAAATATAGGTAAAAGTGGAAGGTGAAAATGCCAGATCAAGCTGGATGAAAAAGGATGAGGAGAGAAACAAAAAAAAAAAAAAGGGTTAGAAGCATCACACGAGAATCATTTGGTGATAGTAATGATATGGTGACGTGAAAGTTCAAAAAAAAAGATTGTGGATTTGATATACTTTGTATCCAAGACCCTAGTAATAAAAGGACATAGGAAGAAGAGCGAGGGTTAAAAATGGGGGGAATGATGAGAGGGGCAGACATTTTCAAAGGTTGCAGCATTTAGAATCTAGAAATGTAGCGAGGAAGGAAATGGGCATTTGTTGTCAGGTCGTACGTTTCATTGACTCCTGTAACTCAATATCCACGCAACACGCCCATTGTATATGTTTTTTTTTTATTTTTTTATCCCAAAAATATTTATAATTAATACTACTTTCGATCTTAATTATAAGAACTAGTTGACTAGTTTAAAAGATTAAAAAAAAGTTAAATTAGTTATTTGTCATAAATAAGTGCTGTCTTTCCTAAAATATCCTACTAATCAAATGTATTGGTTAGACATTATTATGTTAGAAGGACTATCTTAAAAAATACATAAATATTAGTGACAAAGTGGATTTGGGTCTTATATTTAGGATCACAAATAAAAATCAAACGAGATTTTATATTAAGGATTGAAGGTAGTATTATGATTTTGCATTACTACCAATTGATATTTTATTAAAAACATCCTGCTATAAGAAAATCGATCAAAAACAATTGTTATTTATGAATTTTCAAAAAAGCGAGATAGCTGATTAAATTGCTAAAACCTTGTGAAAAGGGTCAAACCTTTAATCCTCTCCCACAATTGCAATGTCTTTTTATCTCGGGATCATGTTGAAATGTTGTTAAATACTAAATGATTTTGTTTTGTGTCTAAAGTCTAAACTTGTGGTTGTTATTTTGCTGGCGAAAAAACAAAGAAAATACTCTACGTGTAAACAAAAGCTTAATTATGACTCGAGCATCTCGAATGAATTGAATATTTTCGTTTGACTAACTAAAAATAATAATAACAATAACAAGGAAGATCAGTAAACAGAGGCGGCAGGAAACTTATAAAGTGTAAATTACTCAAGTGCATGCGCATGACTCAGCACCAACAAAATTATTATGTATGTATTCTACTTCTTTAATTTATTTAAATAATTAATTCACTGAGGTACCTCAAAAAAAAAAAAACATGATGTCCCTATAGCTACTACTGCTAGCATCTAAATTTCTACACACTACTGCCTCCAATAACTAAGTTGACTAATTTAAAAGAATTAAAAAATTATTAAATTATTTAATTATAACATATGTTATATTACTTTTATAAAATAGTCATATAAGTCATTAGATTATATATCAACTTATAAGTGAGACAAATTAATTTGGTAAAAAATAATAGATATAAATACTTTAAAGTAATTTAGTAACTTTTTTAATCTCTCTAATTAGTCAATTAAATCCTGTATTAAGGACTGAACGTATTTTATTGGCCATCGTATAATTTAATTTGCTCGACAGTCAATACCAATGACTATTAAATTAACAAAGTGTTTTGAATTTTTGAATTTTGAATCATTAACAGTTCGTTGAAAGGGAAAAATAAAAGCATTTTAAATAGATGAGACCCATTAAGACTTTTTCTATTTTTGTTGGCGTTTTCATTTCATAGATAAAATTCCAAAATAGCCAACCCAGAGCTGTAAAATACTCTTTACAAAATCTTTAAGAAATATAATAATAATAATAATTAGGCTTGTGATTACAGCAGATGATTAAGTAAGGAAAACGCATCTTTCAGGGCTTAGAGAATAATGAAGTAATTAACTATTATAATCCAAGTTGGTGAAAAATGAACCCACGTAATTACCCAAAAATACAAGTTGATGAAACTGCGACGATTCACATCCATGACATCATCCTGCTTAATGTAATCATATTAAACCCAGTCTAACAAATCTATCCATCCCATGGCTGCCTTTCACTTCTTCTTCTTCTTTTTTTCAATTTCTTTTACTTTTCTTACATCACATCTGCCACCCCCATCATTATCATTATTATTACTTCCGGATCTAATTATAATAACTAGTTGATTAATTTAAGAAAATTAAAAAAATAAATTAAGTTAATTATTTATAATCAATAAATATTGTCTTTCCTAAAATACCCTTATTAATCAAGTGTATTCGCTACAACTACTATTATGAGAAGGACTACCTTGAAAAAAAATATACAAATATGGAAGACAAAGTGAATTAGAATCTTATATTTAGGATCAAAATAAAAATCAAATAAAGTCTTATATTAAATACCAGATGTAGTATTATTTTAATAATTTTTTTTGCCAAAGTATTATTTTTAATTACTAAATGGTTTAATCCCTTTCGCACGCCTATAGATTAAAAAAAAAAGATTCAAATATACTATTTGTACAATATAAACACCTCAGGAAAAAAAATTAAGAACGCAGATAAAAAAGATTGAAAGAGTTGATTGTAATTTTTTCGGCCGGCAAGAGTTTTCCTTTTTTTCCTTTTTTTTTCTGGGAAGAAGAAGAGCTATCCAAAATTCTTAGTTTCTTACATGCTGGTTTAATAGAAAAATAAACACGAAGCCTAGAACCCGACGCGAAGGAGCACGCGCAACACGATCTGCCAGTTCAGTTCATATTATTCATGCAATAAATAATTTATTTGACTTTGGAATTGCCGGGCACCTAATCCTTTAATACTCCCATATAGTACAAAATGGTCCAATTTTGTTTGGCCTATAAATTAAAAATTTAAATTTACACTTATATTATAAATTCATGCTTGATAAATACCTAATAGTAATAAAATAACATGTGATCCAAATGAATATGGCAAGAAATAGGGGGGCTATACATATATATACACACACACACATGAAAATTAAATTGCCGAGGGAAAAAGGTGACGCACAAATAATTTATTTATTTATTTAATTTTGTTTTTGGCTGTTTGCTTGTTCCTAATAGTATTAAGGGTGGGAATATATATTATAATGTCCCCAGGCCAAATCATCTAAACTGCCTCTTCCTTCTTTTTTCTTGTTCTTTCTCCAAACCACCACCACCACCCCCACATTCATCTGCAACTTGTCTACTTCCCTTTTGACCATGTCTTCCTCAGTGATGGGCTCTCAAGGGGTGGTCGTCGCCACCGCCATGGCTCTCTCCGGCACCGTCATCCTCATCGCTCTCCGTCTCCAGAAATCTCTCCCTCCTCTTCACACTCCTCTCTCTTCCTCTCCAATCCTGCGATCTTGTATATCCTCTGGTAAGCACAGCCTCCTTCTGTTTTACATTCGATCAATTCGCAAGATTCGTTCTTTACTCTGCTCCTCTGTCTCCCCTCTGACATAAATTCTGGGTTTTGAAGCAGAGAGGAAGAAGGGACAGAAGAAGAAGAAGAAGAAGACGAAGAGGGTGCATTTCGCTGAAGATGTGGTGGATTCAAGGAGAGATGGATCAGAGTTCAGGAGGAAGCATCGCGTGAGTAACAGTTCTGTTGTGTATTCAAACTCTGAAACGAAGATGAGAGCAGAGAATTGTAATGGCGCGGCTGAGATCAGAGGAATGCCTGCGAACAGAGTGGCCCTCTATAATGGAATTCTCAGAGATCGCGTGGCTCAACGATTGGCTTACTCTTACTGATCTGTGAATATTTTTCTTGTGTTCATCATCATCCTCCCACTTGTTCTCTCTGTTTTCTTTCTCCTTCTATTATTGTTTATCTTTTAGGACGGATCGATCATTTGTCCTCTGCAGAACTGAGGAATTAAAAGCAGAGGGATGGGTGAGGGTGATCGTGGTTACAGGCTTACAGTCTTCTAGTTAACAGGTTTTTTTTTTGTCAATATTTAGGATAATTTCACTGAGAATTGGGTTATATATACTAATAACCCTCAACTTGCAGTTAGTTTAATGCTCTGGCCTGTACATACAAGAATTATTGAAACGATAATATATATATATATATATATATCCTCTTTGGAAGATAAGTTTTTCTGTTTTTCCCTTTTTGGTTTGCGGAAAAGCACGAAGGTTCAATTTTCAAATATTATGTACAGAAGAGGTTGCTGGCTAGTGGAATGGTTAATAGAGGTGAAAATCTCTTCTGTGCTTACTCAAAAAAAAAAAATCTCTTCTGTGACAAGCCATTATTTTATGTTTTTCATTGGTAGTTGTGAAGAAGGTGAGTCAATAGGGTTCTTTTTTGTGCCTGGCGCGCCTCAAATAATAATTGAGACTGTGGTTTGAGTATTATATGCCAAAATTGAGCAATTGTAAACAGGACATTTAAGAAAAAAAATTATAAAGAATGAAGATTCGCCCTATAATTATTGGTGCACCTTTAAGAATACGTGTGGGTGTGTGTGTGAACCGACTAATGTAATGTGAACTAGATTATCTGGTTCTCCAAGTAACCCAAATAGAAATTTGAACAATCATTGACACCGACTCGAGGAAACTTTAACTAAAAGGTCATACTTTCATAATCGCCCCAAGTTTTACAAGTTCCTTTAGTCTTTAATTTGACTAATTCTTAAGCTCCAATTAGTTTTAACTTTGTGTTGAGATGTTGCCTGGTTGATATGCCAAAACATGCTTGTTATTATTTCTCTAGCCCTTAACCTAATCATTACTTACATAAACTAATCAATAACAAATGTGACTCGGGGGTGTTTATGTCTGTAAATAGAAACAAACTCCTCTATATATTTACTTTGTATACCGTAAAATCACTTTTAAAATATGATTTGGTTTCTACCCAAACACTCCATTGATTTTTTTAAAAAGTACTTTTATTTAAAATTTGTAGCTATAAAATCAGGAGCATCAATAAGGATAATTTAAGAAAAAAATAATAAATATGATATATATATATATATATAGTGAATTGACAGTTTATGTTTATAACCAAAAATAATGCCTAACGACTTTTTACAGGAGGGTTATTATTTCAAAAAGAACCGCAAAAGCAAGTTAAAGAATCGAATCATTAATAAATTAGCCATTCGTGGTCATACAAATATAAAGTAATCCAACATTCATGAACCATGATATTGTATTCTGCACAGTACAATGCATGGAACCGTGTTCCTTAACAAATCGTGTTACAGGCAAGCTCTTGTAATACCCACCAAATCGTAACAAGTAGAAAAAAAAAAAAAACTATTAACAGAATCAGAGTAAATTAAAAGTTGCGTACAGCATATTGAATTTTCATCGAGGAGAATACTAGTTGTTTGGTTCACGAATGAGAATGTCGGGTTCATAGCTCGTAGAAGGAAGACAGATGGCGAATAAAAGCTGGAGAGAATTGAAAAGAAGAAAAGGCCATGAAGATGTGGGGAACTTAAAACCAACCAAAGCTGATTTGTTCACCTATTGCTTCTTCTTCCCTTGTTCGTATTATAATTATGGGAAGTGTACACATGTGGATATAGATATATACATATATATATATATATATAGTGTACCAATAAATGGGAGCCCCATTTTTTGTGAACTCCAATGTCACCCTCCCATTTGGTTCAATATTTTTTAAGAATCATGATTCAACGAATCCGAAAGAGTCCATGAGATGTGGTGAAGTTGAGACAATTATTACTATATTGAAGGATAGTGCCCCAGAGTGGGGACTCTGCTTTCTGGGCTTCCAAGAGTTTTTTTTTTTTTCCCTTTCCCCCTTTTTAAAGATTTTATACATATTTTCCCATATCAAATAATGTGTGAAATTAATAAAATTCTCCAATTTTATCTGTAATAACTTTTTTTCGCTCTGTACATTTACAAGTCAGTCTCGTATTTCTTTTTTTTCAATAAAAATTTAATAAAGATAAAATTAAAAAACAAGCATTTAAATATGTCTACAAATTACTTACAATTAGGGTGAAAACTTTTCCTTTCAAGTATCAAAAGTTGAATAGAGTCAAACTATAGATAGGATAACTTTTTTTAGGGCAAAAAAGATGTTTGTTTTTACGTTTACACAAACTCAAACTTGAGATTTTGTGTTTAAGTAATGATATAACTAATTTGTTTAGATGAATGACTATTAATGATAGCAGTGTATAATAGAATGAATTGAAAAGAAAGACGATAGAGATGAATATAAAAAAGGGAAGGGGAGTGTTAGTGGCGTGAAAGTAGCTGCATGCTCAAAAAATTCCAAAGCAAAAGTCGGTTATCCTACCCAACCATCACTCCTTGAGTGTTTGACCAAGCCAACCATCAACTACCTTACATAACTCATCCCCTGTTTCTACACCATCTTTATAACCACAATTATAAAAAGATTCATTTTCTATATGATGCTTTTTTAATATCATTTAACTAATTTCCCCTTTCCTAACATGCTTCCAACTTGTACCACCATGTCTATCATTCACTTATCTTACATATTCATTATTGCATTTTTTATACTATCTTCTTAAATTACTTTACTAATGTGAGAATTTTGTTAACAAATAATCTATAAGTGCTTCCATAAGCTAGTTTTTTTTTTGTTTCTCCCCGGAAGAGTTGAGAACTATCTCAGCTGCCCAACAAGCAGGGTTGGGACCCAAGTGATTAAAGTTTGTGGAGGGGATGGGTGGGGAGGAAGTGAAAGAGTAGATGGGGCAACATGGGAGAGCATTGATTGGACAGAAGCCATGTGCTGACGTTGGGCATTTACACCTCATTGCTTTTCGCAGGCTGTCTGTCTGTGACACTCACTCACAAAATAAAGCCTTCTACTTTGGTTGTATTTGGCTACTGGGACCATGTCACTGTGGCTTTTCTACAATTGTAGATGCTCTTCCGGTGCTTAATATAAGACATATTTAACTAATTTGATTAGATTAAGAAAGTTAGGTAAGTTAGTTAATTATAAGAAAAGTGACACATTTTTCCTAAAACATCATAATCATCTTTCTTAATATCCCATATTCTTCTTCTACTTGATTATGGTTGAGGGAGTATCTATATGGGTAATTTAGAGAAAATTGATAAATATGATAAATAAGTTTTATATTTAGGACCAAAACCAACTCAATAATTGAGTCCTATATTAAGGACAGTAGGAGTATAAGAACTGCTCTGTGCTGGTATTAATAAAACCGGCGTTCATCAGTATGTATACAGTGTTAACGCACACCCATGTGAGGAGCCTTCAATTCCCTTTACTTTCTATTTCTCTACTTCATTCTACACTTACACTTTGCTTTTCTGTCGATCTCATGCCTTGTTTTCTTGCTTCTCTGGTATTATACATGTTCTTCTTGTGTCGTGTTTCATGCTTGTCTCTGTCCTTTTGTTTCTCAAAATAATTCTGTCTCCTCCCTTTATGTGACCCTCTTTCTCAGATTCTTTCTAGTGATTTTGAGTGTGGATTTTATATTAAAATAGTGACTGAATGAAGTTAAAGGGGGGGGGGGGGGAATAAGGTTTTGTTTTCCACGTTAGCAATGATGATGTGCAATTGATCCGAATCGAATCTTATTATCTTGTGTAACAAAAGAAAAAGTTACTGTCAATCAAACCCAAGTATGAATTGAAACTCTACCTAACTGGCCTCTCTTATCCATCTCACCACAAAGCCTCCTCACCGAATCACATCACCTCTATAAAATAATCCCCTCATTTTTCTTCTAACACCTCATGTTTCATCATGCTTTTCTATATAAACCATGACACTTAATCTTCGAGAATATCAATAATTTTAGGTTTTTTAGACCGCGAAAGTTAATTAGAGGTTTGGTTTGAAGATAGAAAGCATGTTGGAAATATATATATATATATAATTCGTTTTTGTTTGTCTAGATGTCTGGGCTTGTGAGATTAACAATATAATGTTAAAATTAATGTATGTATTTATTAAAAAAAATTACAATAAGCTCTAGTTAGGTCATGAGGCCAAAAGAATTGGCTTTTATAGTTTCACAAGAATGTTATTTCTGATATGTTGTATTAAATTTTTTATTTTCCTTTAATTCAGTTGTTTTTTTACAAATTTTGTGAAATCAAGTTTAAAATTTTTAAAGCGAAATAAACTTATATTCCCATGTGCTGCGCATATTTCAACTGACATGTTATCGTTCTATCTACTACGCCAACTGAATCTTAACTAAAGAATTTTTTTCTTTTTTTAAAAAAAGAAATCAGTGGAAGGTGACATCCCTACGGCCATAGGGAAAGGCAAAGGCCAAAGACACAGGAGAATGGTGATGACGTGTGCAAGCTTTCAAATTGGGACCACTTTTTCTGTGACCTCACCAACTTTTGAAGATTTGTTAATCCCACAAATTCAAATAAATAAATAAAAGACAAAAAAAGGAAGTTTCTGGGAAAGAGAGGGCTCCTTCCGTGTCGACATTACTGTGTGAGTAACTAATCTAATCCCTCATTATTTTGTAAATACAATTTCACCCGTCTAAATTTAAAGTTTTTAATTACAAAAAATCATTTGAACAAACATTATTCTCTATTTTAGATTCTGTATAAACTAAAATAATTTTTAAAAAATTAAATTAAATTAAGTTTTCACTGTTTAAATTTAATCTACACAGGGCATATAGTATGCTCCTCTCGCGTCAGCAAATAGTAAACAAAAGCAAGGCCTCGATTATTATTATAAAACTCCTTCGTGCTTATCTATGATTGATCAGTGATTAACTTTGTCTTCTTTCTTAATCATCAACGTTTATGCCAACCACCATTTCCCGAATCCTTCATAATTTATCATTCTTCTAAAAGTGCCAGTGCTTCATCCACAACCACACAGTCAATTCTGACCAACCATAATTACTTTCTTTCACCAATCAAAAATTGCAAACCATGCCGGTTGCAGATAAGTTTTTTTTTCCCTCCCCTTTTTCTTTTTCTAAAAGCCATCTCTTCCGCTGTGTATCTGAATTTTCTTTTTTCTTTGTTTCTTTTTAATTTCATGCTGGAATATGCCCAGAACATGTCTCTGGTTGTGTCCATTTATGTACTGCATTTTTTACGTTACCCTGTATGCATCTATCGGTTTTAATTAACATGGTTCTCCATTTGCTCTTGTTTTCGAATATTATTAATTAGCCCTGCACAATTTGAAGATTCAATTTGATCACACTTAGGATAAGTAAACTGAGAATGTTGAAATAGATATGTCATTGTGTTAAAAAAAAGAGAGAGAGATTCGTGATGAATATGAATTGGTGTGACGCTCATCAAACAAAAAAATTGTAGAAAACCGTTTGATATGATTTAAAAGCAACAGTTAAAGGATGTAAAGTAAAATTGAAGAGAACACTCAGTGTAATGTTTTTGATCATTTTTGTGCCATTGACCCAACTATATGTTACTCTTCCGATCCTTAATATAAGACCCATTTAACTAATTTGATTAGATTAAGAAAGTTAAGTAAATTAGTTAATTATAAGAAATATGACATGTTTTTTTTAAAATACCATAATCATCTTTCTTAATACCCCATCTTCCTCTTCTATTTGATTATGGTTGAAGAATTATCCATAGGAGTAATTTAGATAAAATTGATAAATATGATAAATGGGTCTTATATTTAGGACTAAAACTAACTCAACAATTAGATTCTATATTAAGGAACGGGGGAGTAACTCATACGGTTAAAAATAAAAGCAAGGTAACAATGATCTCGATAGAAAATTCACCTTCACAAACGTGAATTTAATCAAAGGACCCGCGGTTGGGGGTTATTATAGTTGGCCACAAGTGGTTTCATGTCGCTAGGATATTGAAGCGCTATGGGCTTTCTCCGATAAATGGGCCGAAATTGGCCCATTATGCCCCCAAGATTGATTCCCCTTGAGATTTATTTTGGGGTGAAATCGATTTAAGATAGTGTCACACTTACGGTTTCGCCCCATAATGTGCGAATTCGAAGCTAATTGGATTTTTTTTGGGCCTAGACTTAGTCAAGATCATCACACAGACCCAAGGTAGGGCCCATTTAATTTAAATAACAAACCAATCACTATAATACATAAATCTATACCACTTCTTATTATGAAATGTAACTAAACATTTTGATATAATATTTCAGTACACTTTCTATATATCACTTGTATCTAAATTTAAAATTATTAACAATATCACACCACATGAGATATCAGAAATATTTTAATTCAGAGTAAATAAGTAAACAAATTGAAGATAATTATTCCATTTAACTCATACGGAAATATTAAGAAAAATTCACATACATAAAATAATATATTTATTTTTACACAATACCAAACATAATTAATACATTTATTTATATACATTTATTAATTATTAATTAATAGCAAAACGCGGGGAATTATTAACGACGAGGCATAACAAAGAAGCAGAAGAATTATAGATTGGCGTGTGCTGTACGGCAAAAGCTACAGCACACGAGAATTAATGAACATGGTTGGTGTGATTTGAATATTGATTCACTTGTCTTTTAATACCTTTGCTTGCGTATTGGGGTAAACGACGGTTAGATAAAGAGGGAGTTTCGTTAGGGAGAACAACGGCTATTAATGGTCGTATTTGTTGCAGGAAACGTTAAACGACAGTGGCGGCAGTCTCAGGGAAGCGTAACATCAAGCCTACGGCAGGCACGATAAAAAGCGGCTCGCGTGGGGCGCCTGGAGAGTAGAGACCCAAAAGATTGACGAAGAGAAGTCGCAGCTCAACGGCAACCCAGCTTTTGAATTGTCGTTTGGAGATAATCCTCTTGCGTCGTTTCCCAGTTTCACGGATTTGTTACCTTTCTCGTGAGGAATCCATGTTCTGCGGGTGTTGATTTTTTAGTGGATATTGTGATGATCAGTGGCTCGATTACTGCTTGGGTCAGTGACCTTTTTGCTTGCATAGGGTGAGCCCTCCATTTTTATTACTGGACTGGTATTAGCTAAAACACTGCTGTGAAGATTCCCATTTTCGGAAGTCGTTTTATTGTATCGGAGTTCTTAGTTGCTCATAGTCCTGTTTTGGTTCCGAAAATGGAAAAATTTTACTCCTGGAGAAGCGGCAGCATTTGGGTAACTGCTATTGGTTAGGTGCTGGTTTTTGCTGATTTCCTTTTTCAAAACCGACGAATTAAATTTGTCTTCGGAATTTTTTGTTTGGGGGGGGGGGGCGGTGGGAATTCTTTATTCCTCGCGCGTTGACTTCTGCAACATAAGGGTGATTTTGGATAAATATTTATTATGCCACTGCTGAAAGATTTGGTATTCTGAATTTCATTATGCAAGTGTTGCTTTCTGTAATTTTTTTTTTTTTTGGCAAACTACATGGACGTGATTTTATCTCTACCGTTGGGAGTCAGATTGATGGCTACTTCATCAGGTTTTTGGTTGATAAATTGGATCCAGATTCGTTAGTGATATTAAATTATGAAATTTCTTATTGGACAAATAAATGTGGGTGCCGGAAGAGAAATTTTCTCTCTTTATTTTTGGGAGAGGTGTGAATATCAGAATTAACGGCTAATAAGCATTGCTTATAGTGTTTGCTTTTACTATTAGACGATAACTTTTTCTTTTCTAAATTAAACAAACTTGATTCTGTGGCATAACTACCATTACTACAAGACTAGCGTTTGCTCAGTCAGATTTTCTATAGAAAGACTGAATTATTCAGTATATTATATGGCACCTACAGCAGACATTTTTTAATTAAAGCTGCTTGAATTGGACAAATTTTTATCTTATACATCCTGTTTTTGGGGACATATTCTTGTACATCTTCTCTTGTGAGTTAATCACTACCTATCTCGGAATAGCAAAGTAAAGATCCAACTGCAACAAAATACTATGAAATGACAGAGAAGAAACATTATGGGCCTAAACTTGAGAACAATCGATGTGTTTCTATCCTTGTGGATTGTGTTGTCGATCCGTATTGCAGTAAGTAGAAAGTTGCGGATCAAGTAAAGGGGCTGTAGTGATGTCAACTCTAATAATGCCAAACTATTTACTGAATAATTGGAGAAATGATGCAAAATGTTGAACTTTTGTAGTAGGTGCCATTACGCTTCTTTGACAATATTATTTGGATAATCCCTTACTCCTTGGCTGCATTGAACATCGAGAGCAATGAGTTGAGGCTTATTATCTTCCGATTGCTGTTAAGAACAGAAATATAATGAGCAGGTTCTTCTGTAATATTCCAGGCATAATTTCCTTGATGGTTTTGCTATCTTTTGAGGCTAGTATAGTCACTTCAAAATATTTTCTTCTATTTCCTACATTTTTTATTGGCCTGTGTTTTGCTGTTATTTAACTTGTTTTTCAACAGTGCAGTAGTTGTTTTGGATGTCGCCTGAAGCCTACACCAATTATAGCTGTGGATGAGCCAGCAAAAGGACTAAGAATTCAGGGGCAGACAGTGAGGAAACCAGCCATATCAGATGGTTTCTGGAGTTCGAGCACATGTGATCTGGATTACAACACTGTTCAATCTCAAAGAAGCATGACCTCTGTCAGCACATTAAACCAACTTTTCTATCATAGCAGTGAACTTTCTCCCACAGGCACCCATCCTGAATTTGTGAACCAAGGCAAATCCTGCATTACTGTTTTTTTTTATGCCCTCCCTCACAGCTACTGATATATTTTTTTAATTTTATTCCATGTCACTTGTGGTAAAATGAGATGTTTTGTTGGTTTGCTCAATACTGAATGCTGGTATTGTAATCCAGGGCAATTTCAGCTTTCTTGTGTATTGTGGTTGAACCATGTTAGTTGTAATACTTTTTCTTTTTAAAGGAAAAAGAAAGGTTAATTCCTCTCTCTTGCTGCTTGATGCAGGTCTTCTTCTCTGGAATGAGAGCAGGATTCAGTGGGTTGGAGGTAGGGTAGCAGATCTAAGAAGCAGAGTAAACAGAAACAAGAACCCAAACTTAAGTATGTCATTTGCGTAGGCACTGATCCTATTAGTTAAAGTGTAAATTTCAAGCCCACTCCAACTACAATTTGATCATTTAAGATGGTCAGGCTTGACTAGAGTCGTGAAAAATCATGGGATAAATATGTAATTCATCCATCAAAGATTTTTAAGTTTGCTGCTTCTGATATCAATTAATATGGTTTGTTGGTTGATTAGCCTTACATTCCATTCACGTCTTGATTCACTGCTTTAGTTTGCACCCCAGCCCTAAAATCTACACCTTGTGCTCATGTCAATGATTTCTTGCTGACCTTTGTTTTCCCTTGAAGTTTCTTTTACCTCTTATTCTACGCATTGTTTGAGAAAAGCTGAAAACCGAATTACTATATTTTTGCTCACGGAAGCATATTTTGTCTGAAATAATATTTTTTTTGCCCCACAGTGATTCTCATTCTGTTGGTTGCAGCTGGGATGCAACTTATGATAGTTTGCTTGGGACTAAACAACGTTTTCCCAGGGCTGTACCTTTGTCTGTAAGTATCCTCTACACACACACATTTCCTTGTTGAGATTATTTTTAGACAAGATAGCACAATTACTTGTTTCTGATGAAATTTTCAATAAATAGGAAATGGTTGAATTCTTGGTGAAAATTTGGGAGCATGAAGGGATGTATGATTGAGACTGATTGGGGCTACCGAAGCTGCTTCTGACTTTCTTTTTATTAAAATGCAATCTTTAACTGGTGAAAAGCTTTAGTACATACATGTGAACAGAAGGTTAAAGAATCAAACACACGTTTGTCTTTTGATTGTAATATCAGAAGGACAAGAACCTACCTTTCTTAGTCCTTGAAAGGTGCCGTGACCGTAAATTATTTGATTCTCCACTGATTGTATAGTACCACTCTGGTACTCTTGAAAGGGTGAAATAGGAATGAAATAATACTGTTGACTATTGAGTACTGAATGGATACAAAGAATTTAGCATATCAAATTGATAATCAGATCATTCTTCTGAGGCCAAACTGGTATTTCTGTCTAAAACTAGCCCATCCTTTATTGTTTTGCCGACTGGTGCATGCCTGTGTATCATGGTCAACTTAAAATCTGATTTACGGAATGCCGAAATTGCTGCTATTGCCTTTAATTATTATGTCTGTAAAGTGAGTCTTACTCACGAGGTGGCTGAAAAGATAAGAAAACATTCTTTTTCCTTTGAACTTAATGTTTTCCTATGTGGCCAAAACAAAAGGGGAACTGCAGAATGTTTTCCCACGACACTAGAGGCGTGTCTGGCTTTGGTCTGCATGACACTTTTCTATTTTCTTCTTTTACTATTAGAACAAAAATCAATTATATTTTTTCCAGTCAGCAAACTGATAGGTATGTGCGGGCGGCTCGTTACGCGATGGTTGCCAGAACATTACAATAAGTTAACAAGTATGTTTCTTCAAACTTATTTTTATGCATGTTGATTAATCTAAATGAGTGAAAATGGAAGATTGAGGCTCGCATTTGTGAAAGCATGCCTAGTCATAATTCTTCGTGCTCAAGCTTTGTGAAATTCCATACAGAAAACAAAAATGGTGTCCTTCTGAGCTTGGATCCTAAACGTTTTTTGCAGCCCCAACTTTCGACTTTTCTGTATCTTTGAGTTTTCGGTTTGATTTTGTTGAATATTCGATGTGATGATGGAAGCGACAACTTTTTGGGCGCAGCTTCGCTTTCTTGGACCCAACTATTGTACGGTTGTGTTGTTTGCCAGGAAAATCCAGGCTCGTCAAGCGTATCTTTGACAAAACCCACAATTTACCGTGTCAAAATAATACCTAAATTGTATCGCAAAAAATAGTAGTAGTAATGATAATAATACCTAAATTTGTTTTCTTTTCCTCATACTTACGAGGGCTATCACATGAAATAATTTTCCCCCCTTTTCGTTATCAACAAACAGAAACTAGAATTTATCTCCACCGATTTATTTTAACGGAATGGTGCGTTTAAAATTCCTCGTTGTTCAGAAAATTAAGTGCATCCAAGAGCAGCTAATGGTAATTGATTTAAGAAGTTGCAGCATATGTGATGCCAGGAGGTTACAGCATATCTTTCTCTCAAGTAAGGTTTTGATTAGAGTAATTAAAAATCACCATCTCTCATGTTTATTATTTGACAACGCTTTTGAAATTAGAATATAGAGTATTTTACATTCATATTCTCATTATTACCTCATCATGTTTCTAATCAAGATATGATGAGTCTTCTTTTCCTTATAAGCACAGACACCCTCATATGAAAGGCGATCTCATTCAAGGCATCGTTAAGTATATTCACTATAGGAATTTAGATTTTAGTTCGTATGTTGTGAGAAAACTACCTTTCTATTAGACTCAATTCTATTTATATGATGAATTACTTGTGATCCACTGATTTCACATTATAATGCATGGTTATCCAAAAAAAATTTCCAACTTCTGATTAGTTCAAATCAGAAACCCACATAATTAGACTTAAAAAATAAGTGGGTCATCATTAAAAATGGAAGACTTTTAGACTAACACTGAATCTGGGCTTGTTTTATGTTTCCTCAACAAAACACACACATTTGACGTAGCCTCCTTCTTGACCTTTTGTTTCACCGGCATCCATTCTTTTATCATATATAAAACATTAAAGCCTCCAATAGTCTATTCTTTCATTAATTATTAACATGACTTTGTATGTTACATGAACCAACCGCTTGATGTTCATTGTTCATTGTCACTTCTCTGAATTGCCATGAACTTTCTTTACAAATGGATCTTATATGCACATTATTGTACACTTTTTCCCCCTTCTCCATCTTACCTTGTTCACACCCGACAAGGTGATTATATTGACTATAAAAGAGTCAATATTGTCTGAGTAGACTTTAAATAGTTGAATTTGATTCATGTGGATACAAAAAAATGTTGAGAGATTTTACTTCAACGTAATTTCTTCTGAGGAGTTAGTTAATTAATATGTGTAAATTAAAAAGATAATAAATTATTAATTCTATATCATTTTAGAAGCAAGATAAATTGATTTAAAAAGAATGATAATATGAGATATAAAATAGATTAAGATTTGTATTCAGAATTAACGTTAATTGCTTAATCAGGACTAAATGGTTTGGCCATAGTTGCTTCGAATTGACGACTTTTAGGCTGCCCAAACCCTAGCTAAGAATTCCCTCCGTTCATTGTATTTCTCTGTCAAGAATAAGATTATTGTACACAGATTAAATATATATATTAAAAATATGTTATATTATACTCCCTCCATCCCTTATTATAAGATCTCATTTTTTGAGTGGTATTGTCTCTTTTTATAAAGTCCTCTTTGAGTTTTCTGAGTATTTAATGTATTTAATACATTCTCTTTTTTTATTTATCTCACTATTACTCTCTCATATTTATCCATTTATATATAGGGATATATTTTAAAAAAATTACATTTGTTACATATTAATTGTTTTAAACTAATTTTAATTGTTTTCTTAAACCACGCAATTTAGTTAAAATGATCTTATAACAAGAGACAGAGTAATACCAAATTTGTTCCTCGTATAATACCTCCAAAAACATTGTAATAATAATGGTCAATTACTCGCATGATAATACAGGAAAAAAAAATCTTAGTATTAAATACTCGATTCAAAATTCTAACTAAAAGACATGTAACAAGAAACAAAATTACTTCTATCAAATGACAAATACCTTTTTTTAAAAAAAATAAAAATAATTATAATTACGGTGAAGCCAAGTTTTGGATGTTTTATTTATGACCGACATGTCGGTAACTTGGAATTATAATCAGAGGAAGGAACTGTTATGTCTCAACTTGCAGGTCGCTTTTCTGTGAATTTGTTTTTATCAATTAATTGCCCACTTGTATTGTAATCTGACTTGATTAGCGAACTTTGATGTGTAATTAAAGTCATTAACGCGATTCATGGTTTTGAGATTAGCGCGCAATTATATAGGGGCCCACGTGGCAAGTTAATCAATCCCACTGTCATGATTCTCCAAGTTGATCATTTATATGATACTCCCTCTCGTTCTTATTATAAATTTTAAATAATTAATTTACAGATAATAAATAATTAATTAAAATTAGTTTAAAGCAATAAATAGGTTAGAAATGTAATTTTATTTCTAAACATATCCTTATAATAAATGGAAAAAAAAGATGAAAAAGAATGTGTGAAGAAATGTGATATGAGAGAAATAAATAATTAAGGGTAAAATCATAAAAAAATGCATTAAATACTAAGACAAATCTCAAATTGAAACTTATAAAATAGACCATACTCTTTTCTAAATTTGAAGCTTATAAATAGGACTGGAGGGAGAAATTAATTAATAAAATTACGTAATAGTAATAATCAAGAAACTGCATATAACATGGATTAATATAATTAAATTATTCCCACTCAGAGAGCAAATAAATTGTGTAGCATTATTATTCTATGAATGTTGTGGATCAAGATGAGGTGGACAAACATTCTTATTAAAAACGATGAACTTGTGATTAGAATGCATTAACTAAAACATTATTCTTAAAATTATTTTATTTTTGTGGCTAAAGTTTTAATCTGTTTCATATATGTCGTAACTTGATTTACGGACGGCGTTATATTTCAAAACCATGATTATTGATATAGAGATGAGAAAAAAAAAAAAAAGGATGAACATGACACAAATCAAAATTCTACACAGACTACTAACTAAACTAAAACAAGTAAATAATTAAGAGACAAATAACAATGAACCTAATAAACCATATTAATTGTCACCTCTTATTACTAATTTAAATAAATTAAGAAAATTAGTTAAAGTAGTTATTTGTAATAAATAGATGTTTTTTTTTCTAAAAACCCCTATTAATCATGTGTATGAGCTAGAACCATTATTTGATAATGAAACCTTTAATATATGCATTTGTTACAAGGACTATCTTGAAAAAAATTAAATAAATATGAGAGACAAAATAAATTGAGATATTATATTTAAGAGTAAAAAGTATTAAACTAGCTCTTATATTAATGATTGGAGGTAGTATTATTTATTAGCAGTACGGGTAAGATGGGTGTGCATGAATATTGTGAGAGTAAAAATTTCAAAGAAACTAAATTCAAGAATTGTGGGCATAGATATATTTTTGTAAGGACTCATGCATCGACGAAGAGTGAGCAATAAATTGGGGGCATTTTGTGAGAAGTTGGTTCATGCACAAAAAGATTACTATATCTATTAATGAGAATGGTCAATATTGTGAGAGAGAGAGAGAGAGAGTATAATGTTCAAAGTGGAGAGAGAATAATAAACAACTCAAACAAACATATATACTTTGAGGAGTGCGAAATGAATCAAGAAGTAGGTGAGGTGCATTGTTTGTAGACGCAGATCATATTTTATATGCATGTGGCCGAACTATCTGCTGCTGCAATCAGATATACATATATCAGAGCCCATTTCTCTCATCATATTCATCCTCTCATCAACGCCCTGTGTCTAATATTCATTATTCATGCATGTACCTGCGAATTTCAAACCTAATATCCATAATCTCTAAGTTCCAAGGAAGACAACGGTGTGAGATAGAAAGTAATTACAAGATCGATACAGTAACAAAACTGGGTTGCCTTCATGAACGGCACCGCATGTATCATGATGCTTCGTATACATCTAACCTATATTACTACATCATCATCTTTTCACATCGTGATCCATTCGAGGTTTGAATATGAAACAGTTTTTGATGGAATTAGTTAGTTATGTTAATTTGTTTAAGCAAACAATATTATTGGGACCGATCAAAACCACATGGTTTTGAATTAATCATAGAGAAGAAGTGATTTCATATACTATATCAGGTAAAGATTTAAGAAAAATTTTAGTTTTAACCTACCTCATCAATACAATATTGTATTAAACAGGAAAATCAATGATCTTTTGTTGGTTAATTGGCTGTTTGGGATACA